AAGTTGCTGGTGGCTGATGGGAGTCTTTTCTCCTGACCAATTATCGGTCATTACTGGGAATTGACAGCAGTTTTGACCATTGAAAAGTGAGACCAACTTGTGAACCCTACCTTAAGATGTAAAGTCAGGGTACTTGGGTGCTCTTTGTTTCCTGGCTGTGAGAGGTAACAGGGCTCCAGGCCTCCCGTTCCCTGCCCAGGCCATGCGGCTGGGTGAGGCTGGGCTGGGCCCAGCGGCTCCCGGCCGGGAGATGGGGCCTGCGGGGCTTGCCCCGGGCTCTGGCCAGGCCAGGCCGGTCCCTGGCTCGGCTGCAGGTTTTGCTGTGACTAAATTTACTAGAGACTGCCAAGTGAAGAAAGAAAGAATGAACCTGTGGTGAGCTAAGCCAGTGACTACACTTTCCAGAACAGCCATGAGGAATCTTCCATCGCAGACAGCTCCAGCTCCTGTTCGGCAGAGATCACCGAACCATCTACAAAGCCTGGGCAAGATTTTAACTCTTTCATTACCCAGATGAGACTTGCAGATTAATCTTTTTATCCAGAGAGGGAAAAAGAGAGTGATCAACATGTAAAGAGACTTTATAAACTATCAGAGACAGTAAAGAAAAAGAAGTTTCAGAAAAGGTAGAGAATAAGGAGATGCTTTAATTAAGATGAAATATTTTTCTGTTAAAGCTATGGAGATGGACAGTGAAGTCCTGAAAGAACTCCTTTAATTCATGATAGAGTATGTAGGGAGGAATGGAGTGTTCAAAGTGTAGATTTTGAGTAAAAGGTAGAGTAATTGTGATACAGTGAAGTGATAGAAGATTTGAAGCCTTGGGGGGCAATGAAAAAACTGTTTTCTAGTGAAGCTCACAGAGACAGATGAAGAAGACCTTTGGCTTTGAATAACTCATCCTTAAAAATGCTATCCCTAGACTCATGGCCCATACACACCTCAGAGTGATGTGAAAATGGGAGGAGTGAGCTCTGATAACAGCAGTTCTGGGCAGCTGACATCAGGGCAATAGAAAACTATAACAGAAATAGTTTTCTTGTGAGAAACTCCATAAATTAACAGAAGGAAACTTCTGTTTCTCTACAAAGACTGGTGAAAAGACTGTAGCAGGAATTGGGACTGTTTTAACCATCAAAGTTCCAAAGTTTTTGTCTCTGTTGTCATGTGAACAAGGGAATAGTGGGTAGTAGGGGATAAAAAGGGTTTTTCTGGAAGTTTATTCTGGTGTTCTTATTATTGTAGTTTGTTAATAAACTTTCTTTATTCCTTTTAAGTTTTATGCCTGTTTTGTTCTTGTTCTAATCCATATCTCACAGCAAGACATAAGTAATCTTTTTTTTAGTTACTGGTTTAAAAACCACAACACAGAGAAACACCAAAAGTAAGAGATGCTGTGGCAAACTTTGCACATTGTCAGAAGAAGACCTGAACAGTTGTTTTATTTGTATGCTGTTAAAGCAGGCAGATTTCTAGAAACAGCCTTTTAAAAAGTGCATAGCCAAAAAGACCGAGTCTGGACATAAAGACAGCAAGTAGGTCACCAAGAAAACAGCAACACAACAAAAATAAAACAGAAATAATCCTGAAGAGGAAACATACACACAAAGAACCCCCAACAAACAAATGAACAAAATAAAAAAAACCACACAGGGATCTAGCTGAAACAATCATTTAAATCCTAATGAAAAAAAAACAAAAACAAGAACCCAAAAAAAACAGGTTAGACAAAATAATTTCTCTAAGAGAGGTCAGTATAAATCCAGATCAACAAAGATTAAAAATAGAAACAGGAAAAGTTCGCTATAGCAAATCACTTTTACAAAGCAAAAGTCCTTTCTCTCAGTGTTAAATTAGAGACATACTAAAAACATGAAGAGAAAATAATATAAAAGGATAACTGCAACCTTTAGCGTAACATACAAAAGTTAAGCCTGGAATACTATCCATATTTTAGTAAACATAAAGATCAAAAACTTGAAGAGAAGACAAAACTTTTGATGAATCCTGTATGTTAGAAATATTCCAAAATCCCTGACACAAGCGGAGTCCTGTGTACAAAGAAACTATTCTAAGCAATGCAGTATGAGTAAGATGCAGACTGAACTTGTTTTATTTACTGGAACTTTTCCAAGAAAAATAATGTTTTTTCTTCAATAGATTTCCTTTCATGCTGCAATTTTATCCATAATGAAGGTCATACATCACATGTTAAGATTGCATTGAAATACACGTGTAGTAGGCATTAATTAGACATAGTAAGCTTCTAGAGAACAAATAAAACACCACAAAAAAAGAACAGCTTTTAAACATTACAGTCTAAACTTGCAAGAAGTTAAAATTCATTTGACTGTGCACTGCATTGTGGTTCCCATGTTGTATCAATAATGGCAATGTTTTAAACTTTCCTACAAAACACAGAGACCATTCGCATTACAGTTGGAAGAGGGTTTGCATCACATTTCAAACATCAAAACAAAAATGTTCTGTTTTATTTCCTTCTAAATGCTTCATCAAAATTCCCAAAAGACAAAAATATCTTAAAAAATATATTGAAAAATAACAGGACCCTGCCAGCAGCATCGTTCTCTGTAAACTCCCTGTAAATACCAACCAGCCAGATGTGCTGTTGCAGACCTGACTTGATCACATTTCTAATCTGCCTGTACTTTTCTAAACCTTCCTCCAAAGATACAAATGCTTTCATTTTGTCAGAATATTATCCAAAAACTGTTCCTCCTTTACATTATTCTATTTGATGTCTAAATAATGATCATGATTCTGTCAATGCCAAAATGTAAAAATGTTTGCAACTCTAAATAGCTGCCATTTTATGACTTCAATTAATGAGAAACTCCCTTAATAAGGTACAGAATTAACAAGAAGGCGTGTAAGTGAGAATGAATGAAAACAGTACTGGACAAACTCAGCTCATGGAGTAACAAATACTTGAAGGTCGTACTTCTAAAATGAACTTCAGAAACAGACTCCCTAAGAGTTTATCCATATTCTTCTAAGAGTTTATCCCCATTCTTCTCCTTTATTTTATAATAATTTTCTATTTACAACCTACGGACTGAAACACCAAAGTCCTGTGTCTTTAAAATAAAGGAATAGATTGACCTCTCCAGAGCTCTCCCAAAGCTCTGACCTCAAGAGAAAACCTTACTTGCACAGTTTCCCTTGAGTCTTCAAAATTGATTCAGGGACGTAGCATGGATAGTCTATTCTTTCAGTTACTCAGTGATTTATTAAAATTATGCTGGTCTTAAAATATATTAGTATTTTCTTCTCCCTCAGCATAAAAATGATTCAGCCTTATCTAGGAGCTTAGAGATCTTACATGTAAGGAAGAGGAAAAACACACATACAAGCACTGGTATGTGAAACATAACTTGAAGCTAACTTGGGCAAGAAGTTCACAAGCTGTCAATACCTCACTTCAGTGTCCCAAAGGCCAGTACTAAGACTTTCATTTGATTATGGACATTGGTTGAAAGAGCAGTATATAGTTGGATTTCAGGCTTTTCCAGCCACTAGCAAAAGTTCAGGAGGTCTTTGCTACAGATTGCTCACCTACATTAGAATTTCAGCAGGTAAAGAATATAAATACATGCAAAAAATTGCTGAGCTTTTTGAATGCTCTCTGCATTTGTAGCTTTAGAATGTTCAATAAGTGACTTGATTTCCTTTTACAAAAGAAGAAAGAAGGTTAGTTTCAACACGACATTTTTACACACATAAACAGCTGTTTCTTCTAGTACAATCTCAGGGATTAAAAAAAATCTCAGTAAGGAAATTTGCTAACCTTCTAATTAAAATAGACTATTCCACTATTAATGAAATACTAGCAATATTAACAAATAAAATATTTTTTCTTTAAATACATATTGGAACAAAACTAGATCTTTGGGAATATCAGTATTTGTTAACTTGTATGATTTACTTGCACTTAGCAGATAGCAACATCATTGGATTGTTTTGTAATTATATGAGAGTATAAGTTTGCTTAATCCTCATGGATATCAAAAAGGAAGTTTACCCTCTTTTTGTTTAACTCTATGTTTTTATGCTACTTTTTCACTATTTCTCTTGTCAGCACAGCTGAATTGAACATCTCCCTTTGCCTTTCTGATCTCAGATCTCTAAGTCTCTAGACAGTGATGAAAGGTGACTGTCAATTATTAATAGGGAGTTATCAGTACTTGTTTTACATTTTACAAGTGCATCATAAGTTGCATTATTCTTAAATGGCATTTTGCATAAATTGAGAAACTACTATTTCCTTAACTATATTTCCGAGTCATAACCATGGAAGAGTTAAAACCAGTAATTACTCTGGTGCTGACTCACTCCTCATTGCCTCTGAAGACACTTGTGTTAAATGAGTATGAACAGTAGGTTTAAAACGTATTTTAACCATGAGCAGGAATGCATTGATTTTAATTTCTGTCCAAAAAGTTTGCACATCAAATCTGCAAATACCTTTTTCCATCATTTTAAGAAGGGAATAAAGCAGGTTGAGGTGATATTTTGTTGCAATGTTCAAAATGGGAGAAAAGTATCTTGCCAAATATGAAGAGTTTCCACTGAATCAAAAAGCTTTTTCTGTAGAAAACATAAAATTATATCATTTAAATACTGTTCTGTAACATCTTTTTAACAAAAGTGGGTTGCAGTTGTCTGTTCTAATAATAGAATCTAATAGTTTGGTAGGAGCCCAAACTGATGCTATGTCAATCTGCTTCTGTCAACTATTTCGACAGCATTTTATCCCAGTGCATCCAACACATACGAAAAAAGGGGGGTTTAGGGGTTGGGTTTTTTGTTGGTTTTGGTTTTGGTTTGGGTTTCTTTGGGGTTTTTTTCCTTCTTTCAAGTCAGTATTTGCCAGGAAATAAGTCCAGGTCAAATATCTCTAAGCCAAACACCATAGCTCTTAGTGGCAAATAGGCTAGAGAAGATTTTTCTAATAATTTTCTTCTATGAAGTTTGGGAATGCTATCTTCCTTTGCAGAGAGAAAATAAGACTGAAAATTTTAGGTTCTCCACTCCTTTGTGCAGTATCATTTTTAACCTACAACAATAGAAAGGAGAAACAGAAAAATAATATCTGAGATGGTCATTTGCAAGCACATGCAGACCTGCTAGGACTGCAGTGAATTTTCTACCAGTGCAAGTTTTTTGGAAGACCTGTTTTTTCCCCCTCAATGCATCTAACCATTTCACCCATGTCCCTACCTTCTTCTTAAAATAACTCAGTATTGTAGCAACCACCTTCTGGTCCTCTCTGGTAAATGGTCTATCAAGCAATTTTATAGAGTTAAAATTAGAGGCCAAAAAGCTTTACTCATCGTGGAAAAAAAAAAAAAAAAGAACACAGCTTTACTTCTCATCATAACTTTGTTTATTTTTATATGTAAGAAGAAATAAATTACATGAAGCTGAGCCTGTGTCTGTGAGACATCAGTCCCCAAAATACCAACAGCATTACAATCATAGAAACAGGACTCTGTAGAGGCCATCTCAATTTAGCTAAAGTATTGCTCTCCTGACACTGTCATCCCATAAACACAAAGCTCTTCCTATTCTCAGCTCCCACTTGTGGTTTATAAATAGCTGTGGTGCTTTGTGCAAAAACAGGTTGCAAACAACATGAAAGGAACCAGCAGTTGGAAACAACCTACCTTTTTCCAGGGGTCTAATTGCTGTTTGTACTGCTGCAATGACCAGAGTCAAAGCACTTCAGTGTCCTGTGTGCTTTATAAATGAGCTATGTCCTTTTCCTCTTCTTCAGGATTTTGCATCAGTAAATTGGTGTCCATTAATGATAGGCTGATCATAGACCAGCTGAAATTAAAAATAATTTTCCTCCATACTACCATTCCTTCATGATTCTTCAGGCAACATTTCTGACCTGCACAAAGACAGGAAATGAACATTTGATGGCATGAGGGCAAAGGAGTACATAATGTCACTGCAGCAATTAGGAGGTACCCAATGGCCCCAGTGGCAGCAGGAGTACAAACAGGAGCTACCAGCTACAGGCATTGGCACACAGCCCATGTCATCTGGGCTGCCTGAGGAAAGGCGTTATCAAATTGGACTTTGTCTGGCCAAGACTTGAGGGACAAAGAGCAATTTGTATAGGAAGAAATGATATTAAAAATCCCAACAGAAAAATGCTGGAATTCTGCCAATCAGTGTACTGAGAGCTTGGGGAGCTTTTAAAGTGGTAAGTTTCCCCTCACAAGGGAACTGCCCTTCACATGTACTCCTTGGCTTTTATTTTTTCACAGAGATGCTATTAACCTTGCAAAAAATCCAGTAAACCTATAGTCAGACAGTTCTTCCCCCAGAAATTCAATATAGCATCTACCAGGTCTGCTCTTAAGGCTGAATAGTACCTGTTTTTCCAGTAGTTTGCTCCTGTGCCCTCCCTGTCCCTGGTATTTTCAAGTGACATATATAGCACATAGCAGTATGTAAGTGACTTAGAATGACAACACAACATGATACTCTGTTACCCAGACAATAAAAAATCCTAGGATAGTGACATGTCTGAAATCCATCCTGTCCAGAAATGTTGTGTGTCATGCCAGACAACATGCTAGACAGGCATTCCTGCCCCTTCATGATCCACAGTCATCAATCCCTGCTTGAGAGTATGCTGGAGCTATATTTATTCTTTTCCTTCTACACTGCAATGATATGGCTCCTGCATAACTGCCTTGATGTTAACACTCTGCTAAAGGAGGGAATGTCTTCGGTTTAATATTTGCCTTCAGCCTCAAAAATGTATTTTCTATTTTCTAGAGAATTTCCTAATTGACATGCTAACTGTAAGTGGTAAATAAGGTACCAGAAAGAATTCTAGGAATTCTAGTAAGGTTCCAGAAAGAATATCTAAATATTAAAAAGGAGAAATAGAGATAATTAGGAATTTACAAACCGGTCAGCCAACTGCAATTCTCAGAAAAATACTGCATTAAACAAGCAAACAATATGAATGCCTTTAAGGGATAGCCTAAAAGTTTTTTTAGAGAGTCTCTGGCTTTAATCCAATTTAATCTCCTTCTAAACCAGACAAAGATCATATGTATTAACTTATAAAAAGTTTTTTGGTACTTCCATATGACTTTATTAAAAGCAATTGCATAAAAATATTTTGATGAGACTAAAAGAAAATAGATGCAAAAACATCTAGGAAACCATTTCAACTATTATTTTTTTTTTTAAATAAAATTAACAGTTCATTGTCCAAAGGGAGAGATGATTGAGTATAGAACCACAGAAATTTTCTTTCTACCCCATGCTACTCAATAATGTGAATAAGTAAATTATCAAATAAAAGAGTAATTTATTACAGTTGTACTTTATATTAGGCTTTGGAGCGTATAGAAGCAGATTGAAAGGCAGAATCAGAATTTGGATGCTTGAATAAATTAAAGGATAGATCAAAAAGGAAAAAAAAAGAAAAAGAAGCAGACAAATGCAGAGTATTATTCTGTTCAGAGTTTACTAAATGTGCAACTACAAGATGACTTGGCAAAATTTCCTCATAAAAGAACCTGCAAGTCACAGGGGTTCATAAACTAAAGTGAATCAACACTGTCTTACCATTGTGAAAAAAACATGCCATACTGAGATGCATAAACAACAGAACTGCAGATACTATATTAAAACAACAGAACTGCAGATACTATATTATTAATATTTAACTAAATTAGTAAATATATTTTAAAATATCAGTTTTTACCTTTAGGGGAATATTTAAAACCAAGGCACTTATGCTGCATGCCTCTGCTTTTAACCAGATGACTGTTACCAACAAGAAGCTGGGCATTAGCAAAGTCTTCTTATACATTCTTTAGTTCAGAAGAAAAACTTTGACAAAAACTAAACAAAAACAATTATTTAACTATTAATAGTCAATTAGGCTTTTTAAAAATTGTAATTCAAATTTACAAAGGCCTTAATACTTTGTCCAGTGAGCAGAAAAAATGTTTACTTACATAATTTTGGATTATAGAACTTCCAAATTACAAGGAGATGTCAGACTTTAATAATCAACAAACATAATTTACTACAGGCATCAAAATGTGTGGAAAATGATGCTTCCTAAGGTCTGTATTTCAAATTAAAAAATGTAAACTCTGTCTAAAATCATATCTGATTTTATCATTTCAACACTGTGTATGGTTGAAATCATATTTTTAAAAGCATATTTAAGGACTGAGCTATTGAACCGTTTAGATAAGCAGAGGAAAAAAAGGATTCAATCTGTCAGAATGCCCCCAACAGAAGGCAGTAAACAGAACCTAAACTCCTTTTTGTTTCACTCTAACTAACATTATGTCTATAGTTCAAGTCAATTCACAGCAGGGCTTCCATAACCCTACAGTTGAGGGTTTTGTCCCTTCTAAATTGATATTCATTTTGCTGCTAGCCTTTTAGTGTTCGGTCTTAAGCCAGATTACTAAAAATACATTTGAAATATATTAGACCTCCTTGCCTTTTTAAATCCACATATTAGAAATAAATTACTTGTTACTAATGCACTTTCCTGGAGTGTTTGAGACTTCTGTTTAAATCACTATCCATAAACAAACTGATGTAACTTCCTACTCAGGATAATAAGATACTGCTAGGATTCAGAACAGAATTTGTGATGGGGCAGTTGGTGTACCGGACCACTGATGATACTGCTCCATTATGATTATAAAACTTAAGTAACTAATGAGTCAAAGATTGAAAGAGTAGGAAGGTAGACAACTCACAGGTTGGTATATGTGTTTCAGCAAAGGTTTTTATATCTTTTTGGAGATTATGTACTGAAGACATGGTACAGTCTGAGAATTAAGGGAGTCTCCTGAAAGATGCAGACTCAAACCCCAGAAGATGGACAAGAGGATTAAATTTAAGGTCTTGTACTCCTTTCAAGTGCACTGACCCTGCAGTATTAGGACAATACAGGGACATAACTGTATTTGGAAACCATGTGAGGCCCTTTATTAATCTGATTATTTTCCTTTCCTTAGAAGTATATATATCATTTTAGGTAAAATTAACCTTTTAATGCTGAAAAAAAATGAAATGAAATTATGATTATAGATTCTGTTCTTTATGGTTTCAAAATCTTCTCAAGGAAAGGATAAAAAAAAATTAACATATTACACAGGACAACTCAGAACATCAGAGTATGGGAACAGACACAGCTCAGAACCGAGCTGGACACATCAGATGGTTTTAGACACTGATGGGGTACTTTTCTTGGATAGGTGATAGATTAGAGCCATTGGTAAGAAGAGTCCATGCCACTCTAGACTGGTAAGATTCAGGTTATGTCATGTGACCAGTTTGAAATATAGATCCTTACTCTAATTGCTCATTCTTTTTCTACAGTTATGATAAATACTGCCAAAAAGTAATTTGTCCCATCTTTAAGACTTATGTCAGAACAGGATTTATCAGACTCTAGAAGGACTTCTCTTGCTCTCTGAATTACAGAAAAAGCCTAGACCACTCTCTCACATCTGACACCTAATTGATGGTGACAAAAGGGAGCTGGATGTCTCCTACTATGGTGGGTTTCTACATGAGGTGCAGCCCAACTTCACTTAGTCTATTTTTCCACTTGAAGGGAAGTGATTTTGATCTAGCTTTATTTAAATGTCTGAATTTGTGTAAATACCAATTCATGAATTTACTTCTACTAGGATTTTTTATCATTTGGTTTCCTGTTTTGTGTTATAACTTACATTATGCAAATTAATGGGTTTCCCCAGGTCACTCTCTGGTAAAGCAATGGCAGTTACTTTGATGACAACAAATGATTTTACATCATTTTTTCCTACTAATAACATGACAGAAGAGAGACCATAGGGATACAAATATGTAAACTGGAAAGGATAGATCAGGTCAGGGGAATTCTGTAAAGACAATATAGAAGAAATATAGAACGTAAGGGAGAAGACTAACTGATCCCTAAGACTAAATGTAAAACTATAGTCCTGATAATTCAGCAGGGGGGAGTAGAGAAATACATTTTCTGAGGTTGAAGTCTGTAATCCTTGAAGAATGTTTTAAAGAAGACTGAGGTATCTGGGTACACAAGACACAGGCTTCAGATGACAGGAATAAATAAAAACTAAATATGCATTCTTGCAGCAAATAAGATAAAGAAAACAATATTGCTGGTACCTATAATGCCAACAGACAAAAAGCAGAAGGAAGTGTTACCAAACACAAAGAAAGTGAAAATCCTTAAAAATACAGATCTTGTACTGTGAGTAAGCAGTACACAAAAGCAGCTAAGAGAATTCATAATTTTATCAGTGAAAAATGCATGCTGCTTTAGTTTCTAGAGAATGAATGGATTTGACTGAAGCAGTGTGTGAACAAGAAAACTGCAGCTTTAGGACCTTTTTTTTTCATCACTATGATGGATAAATAGATAATTTTAAAAATTAATTATGTTAAAGCAGTGTTATCCTCATAGTGTTAGCCTGAAAAGTGTTTATCAACTGACAGGAGCAGTCATTTACTTCACTGATAATTTTTTTCACCTGCAGGCTGTATTGATATCTCTTCCCTTTTTCTGTAACTATTCAATATTTTTAGAAATATTTTCTTAGAAACCATAGTATCTTTTAGAAAATGTCTTTCTCTATAAAAAATATTAATTTCATGGTTATATTCAAGAATTTTATCCCCATGTTTGCCTATTTTTCCCCTCCTTCTGACTGCAGCCTCTTCTCATGTTTTGAACAGGAATCTGTAACATGTAATTAAGGGTGTGAATTCCCTTATGCTGGTACTGTCTAAAGTTGAGCATCCCCAAGTGACTATTCCCTTGGAAAACATGACTTATGCTTTAAAATAATATAGATAATTTTGAAAAGTAATCTTTAAACTAAAGGGCACCTTCTAAAGGCAAAATATACGTTTTACTTAACTGTTTGATCAGAGATGAAGTCAGTTGCTTCCAAAATTAATATCACATGTTAGATAGTACCTGAACAAAACAGAGTAAAATATGACTAAATACTTCAGGGTACTTACTGAAAGAAGACTTAACAGGATATTGCTCTTCCCTAAAAAAGGATAGTAAAACTACATAGAAATTGGGAAATAGTATAGGAAAAAAGCTCCAAAATATGAGCAGTGGAAAAGTATTTATGATCAGTTTAATTCATAATGATACCTTAAGAAAAAAAAGTCAAGATTCCTGCACTGCCTTGCAATGTATTTCATTCAAATTGGAGAGAAATTGGTAGCCTTTATCTTGTACAAGCAGTGCTTGGTTCTGAAAGCTTCTGTTCAAGTCAAGGCTTACTGGATCACTAACAGGATGAGAGGCTTCAGAGAATGTATGGATGACATCTGCCCTTATGAGCCTAACAACAAAGACAGCAGAGCATTCACTGAGCAGCATAATAAGCTTGTTTCCAGAGGCTG